ATTGAGGGGTTGTATACCCTACATAAACCTCAGTATTTTAATGGGGGACAAACAGCCTGAGGAATGAGGAACATTAAAAATCCCAGACAGCAAATCTTAAATAGAAAAAAGGATAAAGCACAAATGAGAAGTTTGTAAGGGAAGGAAAGCCATGCTGCTGGAGTGCTGGCTATGGAGCACCTCAGCTGCTGGGATAGGGTAGGACAGCAATGTATACTCTCCACTGTTATGTTTGCATATGGGGGAGGGGAGAGTGGAACACGGGCCAGAGCATTGGGAAAAGATTAATTCCTCTTTGTCAGCTTTTGCCAGCCTGGCACTGTATTTACAGATGATGCAAAAGCTAAAATATTCCACTATTCAAAGCAATGCACATGGCCAGGATGAACTCCAGCACTAAGGCAAGGCAGAGATGCTCTGCTCTCAACAAAACAACGTCCTTTCCCTGGCACTGAACACGAGCTGCTGGATTTGTTTCCAGGTTATTAACATCTTCTCCTTTAGACCTAAGCAGAGCCTTTTCCCAGCTGTCCACTGCTGTAAATCAGGTGGGATTTTCTTGAGGAAGGGAAGGAGTGAGCTTGCCTGTGAACGAGAATCTGAATTTCAGAGTGGAGGTCAGGGCAGGCACAGGGAAGGTGAGCACAGTGACAGCAAACCCAGCAGAGACTGGGGGAATGCTGAAGAGAGCAGCAAGCAGACACTCAGCATGCTGCCAGTGCAAGAGCCACAGACCTTCCCACAGGGATAGAGGAGAGGGCTGTGCTGCAAGAGAGGAAAAATCACAGAAAGGCTCAGAACACAGCCCTTCCTCCCTGGAAGGGCACTGGAGTTAAGTGATTCTTCATAAAGCCTTTTCTTTCTGGTCTCTAGAATAAAATACCAGTTGTCTATTTTAAGTAGCTACAGTTCTACCTGCTCTAATTAAACCTGGCCTCCCAGTTTAAAAGCTTTCTTCCTCTCCCTCAGAGGTCTGCAGCAAGGCACACCTGAGACATCCTCATCCCACAGTCACTTCTTCTGTCTTCTGATCAAAATCTGTTAATACAGAAATCCATAGGACATAAAAAGAAACAAAGAACACAACAGAGAACTCCTGATGCAGTTTAGCAAGAGATGAGGGGGAAAAAAGCACAGGAGAAGATATGCTGCTCCAATTCTAAGTCAAGAATTGAAGAAAAATTATTTCCTTCACTCCCAAAAAGCAATATTCTCTCAACTCCATCTGCTGGTCATTGGGATAACTGTGAAACCATGCTGGTGTCTGGAAGCCAAACTTCCCCCATTGTGCTCCTAAGCCATGCAGAAATACCAGATTTACTGGTGTGCCCACGAAGGAACCATCCACCACCACCCTTGGCACGGGCAGCACTGCAGGGACAGCAAAGCTTCAGCTGCCTTGATGGAAAACCCCACAGGGCTCCCCCAGCAGCTCCTCCCAGAGGCTGCACCCTCCAGAACTGGCTGCTGCCTCCCAGACTGAGCACGCTGAGAGCCCCAGAGCAGAGCCCAGGGATGGTCCATGATCTCACCAGCACAGCACTGCCATTCCAGCAGCACTGAGGCTCAGCAATGTGGCACCAAAACCTCCAACATCAGAAGCAAGGCTTTTCTCTTGGAAACAAACCTTTCACTCTAGTTTTCAAGCTGCCCATTCTGCCCATCACCATTAAAAACAAAACAAACAAAAATGAAATCAATCCATCCTGCTGGCACTGAAAATTAATACCTTAATGCTGACCTCTTAATCATTTTAATAGCATAAGGTTTGTTCTTCTTTTCTAATTAAAGAGATTAATCCAAACGTGCTTCTCAGGGTGTAGTGTAAGGTCATGCCTGGAGCATGGCTGCACTGAGTTAACCCTTCAGAGACCCACTTTGCTGGGGGGGATGGACAGTGCTGCTCTCAGCACAGTGGTAGCCTGAATTTGGATCAAAAATCCAAATCCACAGCTGCAGCACATTTGTCCTGGCTGCCAGGGTTATGCTGGCAGTGGGAGAAGTCCTGGTTACTGTTGGGGACAGAGGTGTCACACAGTAATGACTGGAATAATGGGAGTTAAGAAATTGAATCATTTTTCACTTTTGCAGCACACATATAAGGTGTAAGGCTAAAGACTGAAAGGAGTATTTAAAAATATTTTTGTTTTCAGGACTTAGGAATCCTCAGACAATGACTGTCCTTTTCTGCTTCCTCTTCTCTTGTTTAAACACCCCTGTGGTAACCACAGTGCTCAGTGCCATGCTGCAATCTGGTTTCCTGCTCACACCACCAAGTGCTCTCATTCACGTGGCTTTGTCTCTCACATGGAATAGTACTTGGGGGGCCCTTTAAGATAAGGATAGCACAGAGGGCTGGTTTAGCAAGATATGTGGTTGCACTCATCCCACAAAGGACCCTGTATGGGGTTTTTTTGGCTTTTTTTAATATGCAGCTGTCTTTCAGTTGCTGTAGTGGATGGAGCCTGCACTGACCCTGCACAGGTTCATTTCTGATGGATGTTAACAAAACACAATGGCCTTTTCCACATCACTGCTGCCTCCCTCAGTGTCTCCTGGCCAAGCACATTAAATAACCCACCATCCCAGGACACAGAAATGGCAGTGGGGTTGCAGCAAGCACACCCAGCAGGATTGTGGATTGCAGCTCTGCCTCTGTCACCAGCTGCTTCTCACAAGAGCCATTGGGGTCACATTTTGGTTGCCCAATGTGAGTGACAGATGTCACTTAAATGTGTGTTTCTGTAACTCATGGAACTGCTGTGGATGTTATTTTACCCTTGGGTAATGCCTTAACATATCAAATAAGGTTTAGCAAGCCAGAGCCTACAAACCTCAAGTTCTGAGTCAGCAGATTCTGCCACTCTTACTCTCCCTGTGCCTCTGTCTTAAAACTGGGACAACACATCTTTATCTCAGAGAGGTGCTGTGAAAATGAACTAATCCAAAGCACAAACCTGCTCCAGTGCTGACTGCCACAGGAAAGAGCATTTGGAATGACCAAGTGAGATATATTGAAACATTCAGCCAGCAATGCCCACAGCTACACACCGAGCTGCAAAAATAGAACTAAATGTTGACTGTGTGCTCTTTCCAGGGGCTCTGTTCATATTGTTCACTGAATAAAGCAAAGTCCCTGTGGAAGGAATAACATATGGCCATGGATGTGCTATTACCAAATAATTACACTGCCTTACCCACTGTTGCCAAATAAAGGTTAAATTCTAACAAGTGTGACATTTCTTTTTAAGTTCTCGGCTTTGCAATAAAAATGTTTAGATGGAAATTCAGTTTTTGAAGTTACACCCCTGTCAGGACCACCATGCCTCTAACCCCCACATGAATTGAGACCTTTGGGCTCCACAGTGCCAATGTCTGTTGGCTGAAATGCTTGTTACTCTCTGTGGTGGGGTGAGAGAAAAGAAGATATATTGGACATGCAAAGCTTTTGACACCTGAGAAATGAAGACAAATGGTTCTGATTGTTCTCTCAGTTGGTATTTTTGACATTTTGAAACTGCAATTGATACTACTGGGAAAGTTTCCCTTACTTTCCTCTTTCTCTTGGACAAGATGGGAGAAAGAAAACAATTCTTGATTTTGTTTCTCTCCCATCACCTGACAAGCCTTGATGGCAAATGCCTTTTTTATTCCACTTGAAAATTGACCACTACATCCTATACTGGTGAGTATATTAGGACTTAGACTTTCCTAAACCTGACTTTTAAATGAGCACAAAATTAGGCTTTAAGATCACCCAGTCCCTGAGATGAATACAGCATTTTGGGGAGACCTGCAGGACAATCCTCTTTCTGCACATCAGGACAATAACTCACTTGCTTTACACCTGATGTACAGATGTACAAACACTTAACACAATAACAGTAGTCATGCAGCAAATTGTCTTTTACAAATATTCTTCATGAGTGCAAGTAGTGTTCTGAACATGGTGTTAATCCAGTCACAAGCTCCTTTCCATAATCATCAACAGTAAATGATGATATTAGAGAGAGATTTCACAGCGTAACGAGAGGAAAATTAGGAAGCAATTCTCTAAAATTGAGAAAAGAGGAAGTTTATTGCATCCCCTTGCCTCTCATACAGAGCTTATTAGTGACAGGCAGGTAGCAAACACAGTGATGGAAGAGCAAGCACTGGTTGTGCCAAAAAATAGCTTTTTTGGATTTAAATTAAAAAATAAGCAATTTGCAGGTCTTACAAGTTTCTATAGTAACTGCTATCATGTATAAGAATATAAAATGCAACAAGCTGGAGTTTCCATAGAAACAACACAAGCATTTGATTAATACGCAACATCCTGAGACAAACGGGAATATTTAATTTAACTTTATGAGGAGAACTCTGGTAAACATCATACTATAAACTTGTAAGGTGTCCTAATAAGAACTGTTCTTGCAAGTTTGTGACATGCAAGTCATGCACAGTATAAAGTGAGAAGCATCTGGGGTGTTTACTACATCAGTTCCAAAGGATATGAGGGACTATTTAGTTTCAGGAAGGTGGTGATGTACCAAACACATTGTAATTGACCCAACACATTCTAATTGACACACAGAACCTGAAGAAGACATTTTTATGTGGTTTAAAATTAAATATACCAGCCAAAATGAAAGGATTCACTTGGGGGAAGGCTAGGGCTAAGTTTATAGATAGCTGGGGGGTTGGGGTGAAGGTGTAGGGGAGCAGCCCTAGAGGGTTAATGAGTAGGAGGAAGATTATGAGGGATGTTAAAATTTGGGCTCATTTGTGTCCTTTTTTGTCTAGGGGCCTTATGAGTTGTTTTGTAACTAGTTTGATAAAAAAAAATATATTTTGTTTTAAAACAAAACATAATGCAGTTTTTATAACTGTGATCCTTGAGAAAGCATAACCACTGCATAAAAATGGACAGAAGTTTTATATACACACTGCAGAGTGGAAATGAGAAACCATGGGACAACTCTGCTTAAATGAGCATGGAGAAGTGATTTGATAGTGTTGGATCACCCAAAAACTTAGAAAGCAGGAGGAAGAGGTAAAGCTTGCAGGAAGCAGCAGGCCCAACTCACCATGTTTGGCACACTGGTGACGGGAGTACTCTTGATGTCGGCAGGGAAGGCAGACAGACTGTTGGCCATGCCCGGCTTGCTCGGCAACTGAGGATTCACTCCTGCAGCTCCCATCTGCTGCCCTCCAGTTTGACTGAAAGGTTGCCCAAAGGGAGTAGTGTTACCTGTCATTCCCAGCTGGAAAAGAATGAATGAATGAAGTGATTAGGATTTTTGTGATTCCAAAGGGAGAGGAAAAAAATTCAAACATATGTCAAATATCCGTCTTTACATTTGCAGAGACCAATTTCCAGTGTTAAGTTTCTCAATATTAAATTCTCAGTATTAAATTTACAATTTCACAACTTTTAGCAAGTTAAAATATATCCTAAAAAGATGTCTTACAAATATATACTGCTGTGTGGGGCTGAAGTCTTACAATTCAACTTACAAAATCAAAGGAAAATACAAGCACATCCTTCTCAATCCACATGAATAGAAATTATTTTTTCCAACACTACAGGAACTTTGGAAGAGCAAACAAACTTCAAATTCTGTGATACTTTGTGCATTCTGAGCACAAAGCATGACTTTGCACACAGACAGATGGGATGGGAGGGGAATATACAGAGGCATCGAGCAAATGGTTATCAACTTGTGTTTTGGTACTCGAGGAGAAGTGTCTGAGCAAAAAGATGTCTACGACTGACAGCCTTGATAAATGACACCCCAAGAACTTCCCAAGACTAGAAAACAGAGACACAACTCTCCCTGAATGACTGGAGAGAACATTGTACACCCAAAGAGCCACTTGGCCTGCACGAGTCTCCCCCATGGTGAAATCTCCTCCCCTGGAACCACAGAACCACTGAGGTTGGAAAAGACCTCCAAGAGAGTCCAACCTGAGCCCATCACACCTTGTCATCCAGCCCAGAGCCCTGTGTGCCATGTCCAGGCTTTCCTTGGACTCCTCCAGGGATGGGGATCCCACCAGCTCCTGGGCAGCTCCTTACAATGCCTGACCACCCTTTCTGGGAACAAATTCCTGCTGAGGTCCAACCTGGACCTCCCCTGGCACAGCTCGAGGCCGTTCCCTCTCATCCTGTCCCTTGTTCTGTGGGAGCAGAGCCTGACCCCACCAGCTGTCCCCTCCTGTCAGGGAGTTGTGGAGAGCCACAAGGTCCCACCTGAGCCTTCTCCTCTCCAGGCTGAGCCCCCTCAGCCCCCTCAGTCCCTCAATAGATCACATTTGTTCACCCAAACTCCTCTTTCACACTGGGAGGATTTCTAACTGACTTTATGGCCTGGTCCTAAATATGAATCCAACCACTGAGAAAAGTCTTTATTTAAAATAGTAAATCCTATTTTCCTCCTCCCTTCAACTCTCTTTAACTTTCCTTCCTCAACACAAAAATGGACAGAATGGAGTTCTGTGGTCCTGGTCTCTTCTCTCACCAGCAGAGACCCAGGGACTGTGCCCAAAGCTGGGAGGAGGACTGCTCTCATCAGCTTATCACTGCAACAGCCTCATAATGAGGGATTATTCAGGGCTTGCTTTTTATGCTTACAGGAATTGAGCTGAACGAGCTGCTGAGGAACCACCAGTTATAACCAGCAAATTACACCAGGGCAGAGTCCAATCAACACAATCTGACTGGGCCTTGTCCTCTTTGTCCCTGCACTTTGTCCCCTCTGGTTTCAGACAGCTGGCCCTGCCACTCTCCAAGCAGTTTTATGTTAGGAAATGCTCCCTTTCCCTGCATCCTGCCCAGTGACTGTTGCCAGATTTGGGCCTTTCTTCACTGTACAAGACGTTCTATCTTTACACATTAAAAAAATCCCAAAAGCTGTTACTTTGCAATATATGAGGTTATCAAATCTGTGCTGTGTCCCAGAGTTAAAGCTGAATAATTCAAATAGCAAGTAAGACCAAAAATTAGCATCTAAAGTTTAGTCCCAAGACTGCCTTTAAAGAGAAGTGGTGGTAGCTGCTATCACATTGCACAAATATCAAGATTTTAATTTTCTGCATTTCTGTGTTTGTTTTGCAGACTGCATGTTCAGAGAAATTATTTTAATTATTATTTATTACACCACAGATTTTGGCAGCTTTCTCTGAAGAATTAATAGCAAAGCATTTAATAAAATTACCCACTTCAACCGACTATTTCAGACAAGGTATGAGAAAGTGTCATCTGATAATGACAGCTGTTCATTAATGCTGTAGGGGTCTATCAGATCAACAGGGAAGAAAATTTCTGAAACTAAAAGTGAGATTCTGAGAAAGCTTAGGAGAACTACTGAAACCTTTCAGAAGCCAGAAATAGGAACATTAACTCTGAGGCTGTTAGGAATTAGACACGAGGGGACTGACTAACTACAAACTTTGTTGTTGGAAGGACTTTGCCCTTCTTGCTTGAAAGTTTGGAGGAGTTTTTTAATGGAATAATACACAGACTTCTCTGGCAGCCACCACTACAATTCCTGCAGATGTTTAGTCACCCCAGCACTGGGAGAGCCATGGGGAGCCCAAAGTGGGAGACAGAAATGCTGCTCAAACCTCTGCCCATGGCAAGCAGAGCCCATCCTGGGCCTGGCAGCTCAGGGATGGAGCAGCCTCACACACCAGGGAGGAGATGGAAAAGGCTCAGTGCAGGCAATGAATGCCCAATGGATGTGCTGAGCTTGGAGAATTGGTGTTAAAGGCTTCTGGCAGAATCTTATACAGCTGCGTTTTCAAAGAGCAGAAGAGAGATTTTCTTTGGGCAGTGAGAATGTGAGTGAATTTACCTCAAATTTAAGTTCTTGCTCCAAAAAGATATGGTGAGGTGTCCTCATCTCATTATGAGAAATATTAACACTTTGTAATTAAAGGAAGAATGTTTAAAAATAGATTTTTAGAAAAAGAAATATTTTGGTCATGAAAAACAGCTTCAAGTTTGTTAAAACTCTAAATGACTCAAAGATCCCCAAAACACCAAGGCTCTGCAATCCTAACAAGTACCACCACATGGTTGTTTCATCTTATTTTAACATTTCCTTTTCAATAGATCTTGTCATTAAACAGATCACAACGACAAAGCAACCTTTTAAATCTTCCAAACTGAGTGCTTAGTAGGATAAGGATAATTTTTCCTACTCTAGGTGGTCATTAAGTAATAAATACTTGATTGAAATTTTAAGAAATGCTTTGCAGTTCTTTGAAATCCAGCTGGAAGCAGAGTAGCTTCCATTTGAAACTCTGTATTTTGGTTAACCTGCTCTCTGCCACATTGTATTTCAGAGTCCAAAGCTGTGCCTTCATAATGGAAAAGAACCTAAAGCTAAAGAATTACACCAGTCTGTAACTTTCAAAAACTTGCAACATTTTGATAACATTGTAAAACACGAGACTTGCCTTTTAACCTAAACTTCACTGACAATGAAACAAAGTACTTGAGACTCATTTTTTGTCTGAAGTTCATCTTAATAAAAAAAAAATCTGAATATGTGGAAAAATCTTTCCTGGGTGGCAATCCCTGAAGCAAATATGGAGACAAAAATAAGGAGGAATCACCCACAAGATGACTTTATTAAAACTGATAGGTGTTCATGGTTTCAGGGGGGTTTAAACTCAGTTCTTCCTGCGAAGAATTCAAATTAACAGGACTGTGATTTCCAGGGACTAAGAATGCACAACACAATGTGAGACCTGCTTGAACAAACTCTTATCCATTTTTAACAGCTTCCCATCAAGT